AAGTGCAAGAAAAAGAGCTGAGTGATGCAACCTTTATAAGATATCACCTTCTTCTCAGAGAAGAAGTCCGCCAGCATCCTGGGAGCCACAATGAAGGAGTAGGATGCATCCAGGAAGGCCAAGTTGCCCAGAAAGAAGTAGAGAGGGGCCGTGAGGCCAGGGTCTGACCTGATGGTGAGGATGATGAGGAAATTTCCAGGGAGGATGATGAGGTAGAAAATTAAGATCAGCACAAAAACCAGCAGCTGAATATTTTGAGACTGGGTCAGACCAAGGAGGATGAATTCTGTCACGACTGTGCTATTTTCTGTCTCCATCTCCTCTGCCTGCAGAACATCAGGGAGTAGAGAGCTTACTTCCATGTCTTTATCTAGATCATAGTTTTTCTCAAACTAAAAGCAGTGTATTCCACATCTATGTTACACCATCACTCTCCCACAGACTAAGAAATCTCTTCTAGCGTTTATTCTTCTCTAAGTCCTAAGTGCCAACACCCTAGTCTTGAAGCCACTTTCTTCTGCTTCTGACTTGTACTCCTATTTAACTACTGTCTCGCACAGGACTCTGCCCTGCCCTGGGTTTGTTTATGATTTGCATGAGGAATTTGAAATTTTTTCTGACTGAGAAAAAGCAAACATAGTTATCAAGTTCTTCAAGTGTTTATTTGAATGAGGGGGTGAAGTGGGAATTGACAGTGGAAAGGAATGATAGCTTTTTAAAGTAACAGAAACATTCCATATTTTGATTATAATGGTTACAAGTCTTTTTTTTTTCCAAAATTTATTGAGCTAGTAAACTATACAGAAATTGTCACATCTACTGGATGTAAATTATACCTTAAGAATGCTTCCTTAGAAAGCTTTTTTAAAAAAACCTTTTTTTTACTTGAAAGATTTCCTTTTTCTGTATAGGGTATTAACCCATCATCTTGATCTAAATGAAAAGAATCCTGGTCATTGGAGAATTTGAGATCTGAGGCTTATCTGTATAATGGTCACCAAATTGGCAATGTGCTCAGGCAATGTACATGATTATTTATTGGTATGAAAATTTGGGGCCCCGGGGTAGGACACCCCAAAGTGTGCCCCAATGGCATACTGATTATTTTGAATTAAAATTACTTAAGAAATGGCCAACAGAAGGGAAACACTCTGGCTCTCCTTTCTGTCTCCCTGAAAACAGGAAAAAATCTTTCATGTGAAAGGCGCACTCCTTGTACCTGGAGGTAGAAAGACACCTTTATGGCCAGAGATAGGGAATTCGGGCCAAGAAGCCTGTGTAAACAAAACTTCTTTATTTTTCTACTCCAAGCCCAAACTCCAGTTAAACTCTTCACTAATTGAGCACCCAAAAGCTGTTTCTTTGTCCTGTCAATTCCTTGCAAATGTATTGTTTTTTCGTTTTAAGAAATACAAAAGCGCCTGCTTTGGCCACTTGTTTAGGTCCTATTTCTATGAGACTTCCATGACTGCAATTAAAATTTGTTTCTTTTCTCTGTTAATCTGTCTTGTATCAATTTTATTACTAATCCAGACACAAGAACCCAAAATAGGTAGACGGGAATTTTCCCCTCCCTGACAAGAACAATAGTAGAATTTCTATATATATGATTATATCTCATTCTTCGAAGTTCTATTTTTGAAAGGGTCACAGTACAATTGAATATAAAAATATACAAATAAAATACATATGTTGCTCTGCATGCTCAAAAATTGTTTATTGTTAGGATTTAAAAGTTTAAAAACTTGCAGATTTGACGTTTGAACTAGAGGATAATACTGCAGTGTGACATAGAACAATATCTCATACACTTTTAGTTACATGATACACTTATTTTAAAATAGTGTTGTGGAGCATGGAGTGTCAAGACCTGGGAAAGAAGCGTCCACTAATTTTAACTGTTAGAGGAGACAGAAGGAAAGAGAAGAGAGAGAAAGAAAAAGGAGAAAAACAGTCAAGTCCCAAATCACGAAACCAAAGAGAATATTTATAATGGCATATCTATTCAAAACATCCAAGTATCTGATTTTGCATGTCTAACCTAAATAGATTAATTAATACAGATTATTAAAGTGATACTTTATATCACACAGGCACATACATGTGCATACAAATGCATGGGTGCACATACATGCATATGTACACATGCACAAGCACACATTGTTTCCTAAGCAAAACTGAAGCACAAACACTTACAAATGGTGCAATCCAAATTGCTTTTTTCTTCCTTCCTTCTTTCCTTCGTTCCTTCCTTAGTTCCTTCCTTCCTTCCTCCCTTCCTTCCTTCCTTCCTTGTTTTGTTAGCATTCATGGCCTTCAATATTTATCATTCCTTCTGCGCATAAAACCTACTGTTGGAAAAGTAAGTCAGGAATCCCTCCATACTTATTCCCAAGTTGTGTGCATCTTGCTGTCTATTATACGGTTGGTTATTTCATACTTTCAAGCACTGAGGCTGTGTTTAGGACATGAAAGAAACCTTTAAGTATCTCTAAGGTTAAAGGTTAAAGTTTTTCTGCTGTATCTTGTGTTTCATTTTCTATCATTCACCTAAGTTCTTCTATTGACTTTTTATCAGATGGACTTTATTACCATCTAAAACCCCTCAGTCTGTCAGTTAATATACGATACGTAAATTTAAGACCAAGTATTAACATCCCCAAGAAAACTGATATTTTAATGAAGGCTTTCTATATCCCCAGTAAAGTAATTCTAAATATCAGGAGGAACTATAACTATTTTATTAAGGACAGATAAAATATGCTACTGTAGTATTGAATTCAGACTTTTAATATTAGTTTATTTCTACTCTAATTCTGATCATTGCATTCTAAGACAACAGATGTCCCACCAGAAAAGTTGTAGTAAGTTTCCATTTATTCCTTCTTTCTGTTCCTTATAAATATGAAGAATGACAAAAACATTTACCTCTCTAGCAATCCAACTTTGCACTCACACAGCAAATACCACCTCCTGACGGAAAGGACAATAACTGATTGTTCCTGCCTTTGTTCTTAAATATCTCTTCTCACAGAGGGGCCTCTTAACATTTAGAAATAACAACCAATCTGTGATGCAACGGAGAATGAACTTTGGGAATTTGAAAGCTAACAAAACTGTAGACTAGTTTCAAAGGGAATTTTTAGAATGCCAAGAAGATATAATCAAAGAATTAGACTAGAAATATGTTAAGTACAAATACTCAAATATATATCAGCTAAAGAGACACTGTGTCACTTCTGGGTTCTAAAATCAACATTCCATCAGTGACAAAAGTATGGAATGGCGAGTTTGTTTATTAGGTCTGAGTAAATAGAAAGTCAAAGGAGGTTTATATTTTACACTGCAATTCTAAAAGAAAAGTAGCATAATTGACAGGAAATCATTGATACATCCAGAAAGGAAATAATGTGGTCAAGTAGATGGTAAATATGTTAGATTCACATATTTCTGGTGACAAAGAGATAGATAATGAGAAAATAAATGATGCTCACAAAGATTCCTTTGAATAATCCTTCTTAGAAAAAAGAACTGCATATTGCAGGACTGATGAGATCCTCAAGAGATGTTTTCTTAAATAAACCCTTTTATGGTCTTGATATTTTGCTGTTTTTCATTTTAGGAATAATTGTCTCCTATGCTTTGCTAAAGCAATGATGAGGAACTGTCTCTTTTTCCATTTAATATTATTGTACAGAAGAAAAAGATTAAAAATCATGTAGTAAAGGCAGTATAATTTAAATTTTAGTAGATTTAATTTTGCTTAAAGAGATTTTCTATTTAAAAATAAAAGTGCTAAACATACATTTTAAAAATAAAAACAATGCATAATCAAACAAATTTCATTCTCATATATGTCCAATTCAGAGAAAGAGAAGCAGGTAAAGTGAAAAATGGGAAACAGAGGAAGAAAGAAAAACACAAAGTTATGAAAATAAAAATATAAATAAAGAGGAAAGGGAAAGTAAATTACAAGAACAAATTTGAAAACTGTATTAGAAAAATAAGAAAAGAACTTGAAAGGATAAAGGCATAGAAAAGCATATTCTATAAAACCATGTATATAAATAGACTCGACAGAGAAAAGAAAGTTATTTATTAAAAATAACAATAATAAAATGTGTGAAAACATATGTGGAGAAAAATCACCATCTTGGAGTACACTGCAGTCTTTATTGTCACCAAAGACTTTTTAATATGTGATTTTTTTCATAACTATAGACATAA